GCCGGCTCGAAGCTGCGAGCGCACCCTCTGGCTGCGGAGACCAGGCACTGGCCGTGGTGGTGGCGGAGGCGACGGGCGGTCCCTGCTTGTCCCTCACCTCCCAGGGTTGAGCGGGCAGCGCTGCCCCTGCGTGATGCGCTGAGCGCGCCGCACACCGAGCGCTGGGCCCCTTGGCTGCCCCGACAGTGGACCCCATGGAGACCATGGGCACCGGGCGGAGTCCCCGGCCGCTGGCGCCACTGCTGCTCCTGCTGCTCCTCCAGGTGGCCTGGCCGCCAGGGGCCCTGGCGGAGACCCTGCAGGGCGCGCCCAGGACTCTGGGCACCAGCTCGAGCTCGCCCAGCCCTGCGAGCGTCGTGGCGCCCGGAACGACACCTTTCGAGGAGAGTCGGCTACCGGTGTTCACCCTGGATTACCCCCATGTGCAGATCCCCTTCGAGATCACCTTGTGGATCCTGCTGGCGTCGCTGGCCAAGATCGGTGAGCGAGCTGGGCTGACCCCACTTGGTGGGGAATGGGGTGGTCTGAGGAGGAGGACCGAAGAGTTTTGTGTTGGGGTCAGCAAGTTGACCTCTAGGTCTTGGCCATCTCTCCCTGGACCGAGACAGGGGGTGACTTAGAGAGCGGGTTCTACTGGTCCAAAGGGATTCCAGGGAGGGGCAGCTTCATGCTCTGCTTCTTAAGAGGACTAGCTGTGACCTGGCCCTACAGAAGCAGCCCTTGGAAACTAGTGATTTGTGGCTCTCCCTACTTCGAATGATCTGTCTGACACCCGAATGCTGAAGTTGAGACCTGTTTACTGAGGGAGGAGGCCAGTGGGGCGAATTTCATCAGTCTCACCTGAGAGAGGTGCAGGGCGAGCTCTCAGGTGAACACTTTTGCGGTCCTGGATGCTTGAGGAGAGAGAAGCACTTTGGCAGTCACAGGGACCCTGCTCTGTGAGGCTGGCTAATGAACTAGTGCATGGAAAGGGACACCTGAGTGCCTGCAACCTGAACAGGAATGCCCTGCCTCCTCCTTCTTTGGGGCTGAGGCAGTCACTGCCCAGGAAGCGTTTTTTTTTTTTCTTCTTCTTTCCCTAAAGAGGTGACTGAAGTGAGATGCATTTTTAAAAATAATTAACCTATTTTTCAAAACACCTCTAACTCTCATTCAAACAGGAAGACCAAGTACCTCCTTTTTCATCTTCACTCCCGCCCCCGAGCAAACTTTTATATTATGATCTTTGTGCCTTAATGTATTTTTATTCATATTTTCAGATATTTGCATTTCTATTACAATCTATCAGTTGAATGGAATCATTTAGAAAAATTCATTACTCCAAAGGAATTCCTACCTTGTATGCATTTATCCTTTGATAATAGGACAGGGTGAGGCAGGATCCCATAAAGAAGGGAGCGACACATTGCCTGTCCTCCAGGAAGGAGTTTATTGATGCGTAGGAGAGATAGAGTACCCACCTGTGATTATAATACAGGAATGAACGGGCTAAGTAGGGTGAGGAGGTGAGAGTGCATAATATGGCTGAGAGGCAGGGATCACTTCTTTGTGGAGAGCACACATTGAAACTGGGTTTACAAAGATAACTAGGATATGTGGTCGTTTGGAAATGAGAGGGAACAATATTTCAGACAGGAATAAACAAAATTTTACTCCACTGGGAGGAAAGCATGCTTGTTGGTGGTAAACCTGAAGTGCACCTTCAATGTCAGGAAAATTAATTAGCTTCTTTGAGTGGTGACCAAAGGAGGTCCATAATATTTAATTACTGTCAGTCTGTAATTGCCTGGATTTTGACATGGTTCTGTCAGTTGAATGTTCTAATGGTACCTGAGAAATAAGATAATAGGATAAAGGAATAGGAAATGGACTTCCTCATATATCAAGTAAATATGCACATTTAAATAATTCCCTGTCTATAATAATAAACTCAGATGCCATCTCTTCAGGTAGTTCTTACAACAGCAAAGAATATAGGAAAACTCACTGCTGACTCACAGCAATTCACCCCCTCAACCCCACCCCCCATTATACACACATACACACACACACACACACACACACACAGAGGAAAACTCACTGTTGACTCACAGAAATTCACCCCCCCAACCCCCAACCCCATTAGACACACACACACACACACACACACACACACACACACACACACACTGTAACTGTTTATGGGAGTAGATAAGCCCAGTCTTTCTCCCACAGAGCTGCTGGTGGTTTCAAACTGCTGACCATGTGGATCGCATCCCAACTCATAAGCATAAGTCCCTTAGTTCATAAGAGTGGCAACCGAAGCTCAGAGAGTTCCCATGCGTTGCCCACCTGTACACCAAGAGAAGGTGCCAGAGCCAGCCCTCCTATTCTCGCATTTAAACCCTCTCTCTCTTATTCTCTCCAAGCCTCCAGCCTGGTTCTCAAGGAGGACTGGCTTGTGCCCGGGTTTCCATCTCTGCTTCTTTGTTGCCATTTCCATGCCACTACAGTTCTGTCTTCTGTTCATTATTCTTGATTATCTTAATCTGATTAATTGCATTAATAGCAGCCGCTAGTAACCATTTAAGTTCATTATCTCACATTTTCTAAACAACCATCAAAAGCAGGTATGATTACCCCCACCCCCACCCTGTTTCAGAAAAAGGAAATGGAGAAAGGAGGAGATTAACTTGCTTGTGGGTGGTGAGCCAGGATCCCACCCAGGTCTGTCTGAGACCTGTTTTTTCTCTCCCCGCTGCATCTGTCCCGGATGCTTGTTCTATGGCGAGGACTAAGTGAGAATGGACGTGTACAGTGTTCTTAGAATGACGCGAGTCACGTGGCAAGCCCTAGATGGTGACTGGCATCTTCACTAGCAATGGCTGTGGTCATAACAGGAGCAGGAGTGTGCTGAGCAAGTGTGCTGAGTCGGGCACTCCCCTGCCTTTTCCACTGGCCAGGGCTGCCTCCCATGTCTCCTCGCTTGTGTCTCACTCAGGGTTCGCCTGCTGTGGGCTGCCTTTTCTTACTGGATCTCTTGGCGACCTTCATTGATTCATTGTACTTAGTAGTATTTTGTTGAAAGGCATCTGTGCTTGTGTAGAGATTTCACCGGGTGGATTTTTTACTTTAAAAATGCACAACTTACTTTGTTGTTGCTTAAAACATACACAGCAAAACACTCATTCAAGTTTCTCCACGCACAGTGCAGTGACACTGATGACGATCTTTGAGTTGGGCCAGCACTCTCGCCCATCAATGTCAACTCACCGCCCTGAAATGTCCTCGCAAGTGTAGTTATTGCCCTTTTAGCAGTCTCCTTACACCAATTGTGACACCAGGGGGTGTCAAAATGTTTGTTGAAAAATGGAATGAAGTGAAAAATGGCATTTTCCTGGCAACGATTGGAAACTCCCTGGTGTTCCCTGGCCCACTTCTGTTCTACTTGTCACCGTTGCTGGCCTGTTCTTAGACTGACTGTGATTCACTATGTGCTGTCCTATGGTGCTGGTCCACCTGCTTCCTGCGCATTCTGAACGTCTTCTGCTTCTATTTACTGTTTCCTCTGAACTCCTCACACCTGAGGAGACAGGTCTGGGCTGGGGGTTCCTTCCTTCTGGCCAGAGTGCCCTTAGAGCAGCCAAGTGGGGACTACCATGGATGGAGCCAGTGTTGTTTTAGAATCTAAAAGCCAGTACTTAGAGTATCTCTGTAGGTATTTCCTGTCTGTAGCTCAGCACTGTCCTCATGCTGCAACTCTGTTTCTAAATTATCTGGAATTGCCAAGAGATCTCTTCCCCTGTTCAAGGTCCCAGTCTCTTGGAACTCTGAGCTTTCTGTTTGGCTTTGGAGGGAGGTTGCTTGGTAGTATGGGACGTTCTTACAACTCATGAACAGTCATCAAGTCATCTGGATTCAATTTTAACGTTGGCATTGGTGAAGACATTATTAATGAGACTTGGTGGCACTGTGGGTTGGGTCTTGGTCTGCTAACCACAAGGCCGGTGGTTCAAATGGACCAGCAACTCTGAGGGAGAAATAGGAGGCTGCCTGCTTTAATACACACACACACACACACACACACACACACACACATACACACACATATATTCGTAGAGGCTTTATTTAGGGTCGCTGTGATTTGGAATTGACTGAGGGCAGTGGGTTTGTATTTTGGACATTATGTGACTTGATTTGCTAGTATTTAGGAAAGGGAATGAATTGAGCTACTCCTGAGGTATGAGGTAACCGAAAGGTTAATTAATGCAAGATGCATAGTGTATATTTAAGATGCTTTTATGACATGTGTCTATTAGACTTGAACTTATTTGTCCCAGAGAACATGGCGAAACCATTAGCAGAGATGAATCTAAACAAGGATAGCAGGCTGCTCAAGACTGAAGGTGCTTAATGACATTTGTGAAAGGTTCAAATAATACCTAATGATGACTTCTGAATAGTTTTCAAGATGACAGAGCAACCTGATTTTTTTTAATAGTACAATCAGAGGTGAGAAAGTCTATCTTTTTAGTGTGATATTAAAGAATTTATTGCTTTAACGATACCTTTCTTGAAGTATTGAAGGATTTGATTTGTCATTGCTTTACCTGATTATCAGGGGGAATCCACTTTCTCGTTATTTGGTCAAGGAAACAGTTCTGTAGTT